CACTAGTAAGTAGGGGGTTGTGGGTTCGAGTCCCACCCGAGTAAGCTTGTGAGGTTTTTTCGCAAGCTCTCGGACAAACACTGAGCATACAGTGCTTATTAATATACGTTGCGTAAGGGCAAACCCGTTATATATAATAAACATCTCCCCAACGCAAAAAAAAAAAAAATACATCTTGAAAATGTAAAAACCCTGTTAGGATAACAAAATAGCGAGTGAGCGCACAGAAATCCAACAATCCAACGGGTCCTCCTTCCTCCATGGTGGAATGCACCCCTATCAAATATCAAGCCTTTGTGTACACGTAGTGATGTACACGTACGTACGTGTAATGCATGTATATGTACATGAACATGTATCAACACATGTGTTCAGCAACCCTTTACAAACAAAAACTAACGCCTATCGTACTTATAAGGACCGATCGCCTTAGGGGCTTTCGGCGTATTGATGATCCTCCTCACAAGTCCAGCCATCTTCGTTCAAACTGATGAATTTTAGCTGCAGTTTTTCTCTTCAGCTGGCTTCGCCCTTGGCCTTGCACTCGACTCGCTCGCGGACTCAGCACACGCCACGTGACCTTTATTGATCACCTGACAGCAGTACATAACGCATGATCAGCAAATGTTTTGCTGGTACGTGGTTATTTGTTATAGCGCACTCAACGTACACGATGCATCCGCAAACCTCGCACGCGCGGCCCAAGTTACCTCTGATGGGCGGGGCTTTGGGCTGCGGACCCTCTCATCAGTTACAGTGGAAAACACGTGTTTCGTTTTGGGGGAGGGGATAGAAAAAGAACAGCTTGGTAACGGAAGCTATTAATAATTTTAACACTCAGAGGAAACAAATGGATAGAAAATGCTGAACGTAGCAGATTTATTTGTTTATTCATAAAAAAAACCGCAACAGAAAGATTTTCTCGTTTTTTCTTATACAGCGGGTATGCGATTTGAAAATTGGGAGTAAGTACTAAAATCACGATGCAAATCTTTGTATTCTAGTTGCATATATAACGAAAATTGATAAAAGGGGTTGAATCAACACGATACCTGTCATCTCTAAGTGGGCGACTCAAGAAATTAGATAGGTGGGCCGTTTTCAAAACATTTCGTGAAAAAACCTGGTTCTATTGGCGCGGCGTTTCTTGGGCTATTTTAAAGACATCATCCTGGTGGGAACCATCCCCGGATCTGCTTATATCTCAATGAACGAATTTTTCTATTTTATGAGCTTGTCTGTAATGTTCAACTTGTTTCGTTTAACTTAGTTCATTTTGTTTTCTTTTCTTTCTTTTTTAAAATTTACCCAGCTGCCCTCGAGCGGGACTTGCACTTTGGTAGCCTGTTGCATGCCGGGAAATGGGTCGTTTCACGCCAATGAGGTCATCAAATAAAGCGGCCATATTCTGCATGGAGGACTATCCTATCCTCGACGTGATCGAGGAAATTGTCCAACAACTTGCGTCCACAAATGTCTAAATTACACGGATGCTTGCTTCTGGATTAGGTTAAGATTTGGTCCTTGTCGTCGAACTGTGGTGTGACGTTCTAATATTCAGCTCTAATATGTGCAGGAAAAAGTTCTGAAGATTCGTGGAGTCAAAAAAGTAAGTATTAAAGTAGGCCCTAGGCGGCGGAGGCCCAGCTTACATTAGTAACGTAGGCCGTGGACTAGAGGTGCAGCTCCTCCAGCCTGTATCGTCGCGCGCTGCCAATCGATCGAGCTTGAGAAGTGGGTGGTGGCCCGGTTTCCGGACAGATGACTCCAAGTAAATTCCGAAATTAGGCTGTATAATTTCAGTGGTCCTTCTCTGTTTTGACTGTGGGTAGGCCTACTTGGATGTTTTTCTACAAAATGCAGTTGTTGAACTAGTATGAATAACGTGTAGCCTACATCATGCACATGAGCCATGGCATATAAAGACAGGCCTAACTGAAAGTTGTGCATGGACATTGAACATTAAGGTGTACATACATGTACATATACATACATGTCATGCTTGGACATGATGTAGGCCTATGACTATGTACTTTCATGTACCTCATCAGTCACTTACTCAGTCACTTTTGTACTTGTTCTGCGTGATTAGTCAATCTTGCATGAAATGCCTAACTTTACACGTACTTCCCTTTTTGAAACATCTCATTACCATGTCCACAAAACCATGTAAACTGTGAATTAGGAAAGGCTGTTGGCTTTTGACAGAATTATTGACAACTGATGAAATGTCTATGCAATATTGAGCGATCGCGCAAAGGTTGAATGATTGTGTGGATTGACTGAGAGTTACATCCTAAGTAAAAATGACCATTATTTCTCCCGTCAGCTGACGTGCATTGGAGCTTGGTTTGGAGTCACTTCAAAGTTCAAGCAAGGTGGATATTTCTGGCAAATTAAATGTGAAAGGACTAATAAGGGTGAATCATTCAATTTGGAAAGAGTTTGGAAAGAGAAAATAGGCCTAACTTACATTTTGAATCATTGTAAGATTTTTGTCGCTTTTCATTAGAATCTGCTTGAAACAAACCTTCATAGCACTGCGATTTTTCTCAATAAAAGCAAAAGAAAATTTTCCTTTCCTTTTCATGAATTTTGCATTTGAATATATTCAGATTTTGAAAATTAGTTTTTGAATACTGATAATCTACTGTACCAGTATATTCAGATATTCGGCTCAGCCTTAGAACTTACAAGCATTTACTGATGTGCTTTTTACATGTAATACATGTAGAAAGCAGTAAATATTTTGAAGACCTTTCCTTTCCGCTCTGAGCGGAACAAAAGAGGGCGTGCTTTTTTTTGGTACTCACCGCGTAGGTGCACGTTTGTAATGAATTTAATCCTATGGTCTTTGCGTACACGTAGAACGTGTGCAAGAAGCCGCTTGAAAAACTTACAATCATCTGCCTTTCTGTTGCTGCTGGTGGGTACTCTTCAACTCAGGGCAGAGTGTACGCAAAGACCATAGATTAAGGAATAAATTTGTTATACAAACTCAGCGTGCTCTGAGTCAAACGCGCAATTGATCCCATTATAAATGCACACCTAAGGGGTGAGTACTAAAGAAAACATGTCCTCTTTTGTTCCACTCAGAGCGGGTAGACCTACCCCATTGTTCAGAACTCTATGCACTGAACCGTACAGTGTTATATAAAATAATGTTCTCTGATGTTTTGTTCTTTGTAGAACTTTTACTTGATTGACTAAAGATGGGAAGTTTGAAGAGACGATATGATGCCTTAGAGGTCAAAGTGCGTGACCCGAGGTCAGAGTTAAACCATGAGGCACTGTTGGTAAGTTTTGCATCAAAACCAAAATAGCTGAATTCGAAATGGGACTCTGTACATGTAGTTAGTAATACTCTAGTTAGGATACATTTCTTACCATTCAAGGACACTAAGTCTGCTCCCCAAATAGAAAAAATATTTTCATATTTGTTAATATATTTATGGTATGTACATTGTACATACGGTATTGTACTGGTACATACGGTACAGTATACCGGTGTTGTACATAAAATTGTATTGATAATGTCCACGTACATGTGCATGTTTATCAGTTGATACTTATACACAGGCATTCTCATCATTTAGATTTTTTGCTTTTCCATAGAAATGTTCTCGTTTGAAAACCTTAAAATTACATTTTCTTTTTCATACAAATTGCATGTGGTACATGTAAAAAAATAATCGTCATGGAGGATTGCCAGGGTTATTTTGGTCACCTGTGAGTAATAGGTCACTGAGTCATTGGTCACAGGTCAGCCTTGAGTGAATTGTAGCAGTACACCAGTAAGTTGTACATGTGCCTGGATGGAAAGAAAAAGTGACTGGAAATTGTCCCGGGATTCAGCAAGGGAGAGGATATTCCCATCATATCCTGCCCCTTACCTCAGAAGATTGTGCCTTATACTATGACGAAACACTCATGCCTAGGAAAAAAATGGTTACAAATACTGTGTGATGCTATACATGTACATGTATATGCTGGTATGTGTCATAACTTGATTCAGTACTGTGTAAGGGTGCTTATCCAGTTAGAAATTTGCACATTATCTAGGGAAAGACCAACTCTTGTACACCTGTGTGAAGAAATGGAAAATTTTCTGTTGCCATTAATATACATTGCAGGTGTATTTAAAAATAACCAATGACAACATTACATGTAAACATAAATGCAATGTTGGAAGATGTGTGAATGTTGTATGTGGCCCTATTCAAATGAGAATACCATTTTAATTAAGCAACCATGTACCGATACATCAAAGCAGAGAGTGTATTGGAAGGTTGAGAACAAGATTACTATAAAAACAGGCCATGGACCCATTGTACTGCATGGACTGGCTGACCTTTGCACACACTTTGAATACAACTTGGCTGTGCACACCCTTTTTAAGACCAGGATGTTTAACATATCAGTGAAACACTCAGAGCTTTAGACCCTATTACTTTAGGCCTACTACATTGTACATGTGTACCAGTACATGCACAGCACACACTGCTGAACACAATATTTTACAACTTTTATAGGGACTGAGGTGTCACATTGATTTCAAAACAGATCAATCAGATGTCCTACGCATGTACATGAGAACACCATAAGAGCACTTGGCCAGGTCATTAGAGGGGATATGGCACACACTGTCCGAATAAGCCAATGAATAAGCCAATGTACGTGTACATTGTACATACATGTACTGTACATGTATCTGCTTTCCAGGCACAGACATTGTGCATGCCAACATGTAGGGTGTATTCTGTGTGTTCCAGGCTGCACCCACTTGCAACTTGCATGTACATGTACAAAGCCTACAGACTAAAATGGCCCCAGGCTATTCAACAATGGTAGATTAGGTCTTGCATTGTCCACTGGATCATGAATGTAAATGCCTGAGTGCTCTGGACAAGGTGTATCCCACCTAGTGTATATACTGCACATGTCCCGCACTGGACAAGCGACCAACCATGGACCAGCGAGCTAGCCACAAATAATGAAAGAGTATCCATTTACACAGCTCAATTTTAAGGTCATTCCTGCTGTCAATTTTGGAGTAAATAAACCATCACAAATCCAGTGGTATGGTATTGTGCCAAAGGGTGGGTACTTGTAAAAGTATTGTACAAATATTATCATGATTGTGGAAGAACCATAGAGGTACCGGGTAGTTCCTACACAGCTCCATGGAACAACAGTGTTGTGCTGTGATGTAGGTTTGCAGGGAATATATCCAAACCTACATCTACATTTTGTATATACCGGTAATTACATGTACGTTGTGCTTGTATACATGTAGTTATAGCACTCATGAACATGTGCTTGTACTAGCGAGGAATCATTGAGTTGAAAACTGACACAGTTACATCTATGGTATGCCTACGAAGTAAATTTATGTTCATCCTCTGATCCTTCAATTACTGAAATATAATAATGATAACAGATGGGTAAGAACAATACACTGTACAATGTAACTTGAACCTGAGTCCCCTGACTATTGATGTTGAACTTCACTGTGCATGAACTACCAGGCACTGGACTTGACTTTATAATTGTACGCTTCCACTGTCTACATGGGTACATTTTACCTCAGGAAGTCATTCAAAATGTTGGAAACATGTGTAGTTTCCTCCCATTTTTCTAAATTTAGCTCCAGTGGCTGTGACAGTGCAAGTCTGTTGGTTGAAATAGAACTTTGAAGGGTACTTTGTGGTCTGTCATTCAGCCAAACAACCTCAGCCAACAACCAGATTAAAGCTTTGTCCTGAACAATGCCTGGCTCCAGTAATCCAGACAGTTAACTTGGTGAAGATAATCCAGTTATAGTAAAATGGTGCATACATGTAGACACCCTTGGGCTGTAAGTCTTCTTGGTCTCCATTTCACACCCAGAATCTCTAATCAGGCCTTCTCTAATGAAGTTAATGTTTGCCTTCCAGCAAATTTCTGGGATATTTCTCTCTCTTATTAAATTCATTTTGCAGCAGATTTGGTAAGATGAACTTTCATACATAAGTTTAACTTGGAATTTGCATTTGGAATTGCTGTTCTGTGACAATGCAATTACCTTTTGTGGAATCTAGCGAAAAAAAATAAATGTAAATGTTGCTGCTTGCATACTTTATCATCAGAGGTGGCAGAGATTGAATGTAGTACAATTTTAGTAGGATCGCATAATGACTAAATGCAATGGTGCATGGCCAAACATACCAATACATGTACTTAATCATGAATTATCAGAGCCACAAGCATGAGTGACATTCTTGAATTTTAATTGCACAAATAATAACATGTTCAGTCAGAAAAAAAACACTCTCGTGATGTGCATGACTAAAATGAGTTTCATGCTACAAAGTGCTGAAATAAACTCAGGTATGTGAATGATGTTTGGGGGGGTACGATAATTAATGGGAGATTCATAAAATATTTTGTCATATTTGAAAACTGTTTCCTTAATACAAGAGGGAGAACAGCTTGCGAGTAGAGCAAAAATAGTTTCAGTTGAGGAGTGCTGTGGTCAACACAAGTTGCCTAGATCTATTTTAATGGGGAAAAGATTACAAAACTCAGCGGTCTTAAACAGGACAAGGAAGGAGTTAATGCTGGAAACATGTGTTAGTAATTAGTGACGGATGGTTATGTGTCTATATCTTCACAACTTCATGCACATGTAATTACACGTTTCATTGGATGTATAGGAGTCTATCATCACCACAGGCCTTCACAGATAACGTAAATTAAACCTGCCCATGCAATCTTTGCGTGCGTGCTTGTGTAAGGTGTACGGCTGTCATCAACAAATCATGACTCTAGGATCTCCCGCTTGGATGCTTGGCTGAACCCAGTCTGTAAACCGCAATAACCAGGGTACTGCGTGAATGGCTTGAGATGCTGGAGCTTGAGGAGAATTGACAAGCATGAGATGCATAATGATTTCAAGGTCTGGAAATATCATATCATGTATTGATGAAGATATATCCACCTTGCTAACCCCAGGAGGAAAATATGTCTGATTTGGTCTTACAGAGCTCAGGAACATTAGTGTTCCACTCACAAAATAATTTTTCTTCAAAGGCTTTATTTTCAATTGCTTCTACATGTAGCTATGATACGGTACTGTAATGCAGAATTTTTGCTTGTGAATACTTGTCAGAGATTCCTCCTCATTTGAACTTTCAGTTTAAAAACTGGTAAATGAAAAATTCTAAGAAGTGCTGTACAACATTGAAGATCAGTCTCCTGTCCATACAGTAGGATGTGCACCATTGCTTGAGAGCAAGTCCCCACATAGAGGAAGAATGATGATTGATGGTGGAGGAATTCCAGAGGTGTAAGTGCCTACTACAACACAAAGGTCAGCAGGTGACATAGGGCATAGGTCTCATCTCGGCCTCCTTGAGCTTCCCCCTTCTCAGTGTGTGTCTGTTAACACGGACGCCAGACTCTGGCCTACCTGTAGTGGGGTGGATGTAAGAGGAAATCATGCCAGCATGATAGGGGCATTGGTTTCACCATGCCAGGCTAAAGCCATGACATATCCGGCTAAAAATATCTAATTGCTGCCCGATTATATTTGTTTGGGAGTGGGAATGGGTTTGTGGCAGCCACAGGTTAACGACCTCTGACAGGTACTGCTTCTCTGCCCAGTGCATACAGTACATGTATGTACAATGTACATGTACATGTGTTTATTACAGGGTACATGTATTCATGTACATCGTATGGATATCCCCATGTTGCTCATGACTTTTTGAGAGGCAATTATCATATTTGTACATCTTGAAATGTTCTTGGTTGTAACATCATCAATGATTATCGTCATTATCGATCGAGAGGCTTGAAAGGGCATCGTCGTAAATAAACATACTCAGGAAAAACATCAAACTCTTCAAGTGCTTTGTTTTAACTAAAAGTATGTGTGTTCACTGCATATTGGAATTCATAAGTACATTTTCTGTCTGTTTACGTGTACAGCATTTGTTACTTTGATCATATAATGGTAAACCAGCAATATTTGCATAACATGAAACAGATCTGCATGTACTGGTACATGTACTGGTGTTACAAATTTTTGATGGAAATAATCTTAAATTTTCCTGATTGCAATGATTACCTTTATTACTGTACTTAGTGTATCACTTGCTACTAATTGCAGGAATAAAAGTGAATTGAAGTTCATCTCTGATTAACTTCTGAAATCAAGAAAAAAGTTGATAAACCCAGCTTGATGAAGTCGTAGTTTTGAATGCTGATGTTGACTTGCCAGTTGGCAGGTATGTTTTGACGTCACCCTTCCGAC